CTGACTTAAAAGTCTTTTTTGTCAAGTCCAATGTCTGTATTTCCTTGGGTGCAGTTAGTGTTTTATTCTTGTGTACTTTGTTTCTTTGCATGCTTCATAATTTTTTTGTGTAAAACTGGATGATTTAAATAATATGTAGTAACTGTAAAAATCATATTTACTTACCTCCATTTTAAGAGTTCTCTGTACTTGCTGCTTTTTATTTTAGTGAATTTTCTGAACTAATTCAGTAGTCTATATTCTTTGCAATACATGAACACTGAAGTCTCTGCTTGGGTAGGTTAGCAGAGATTTCCCGACTTGAAACCAGTAAGTTTCCCAGTCTGCGCAGAGGGCTGTACACACATTGCGACACTCAGCAGGAAAGGTGACAGCTGTTTTCGGCTTCACTTTCTTCTTGTGCAGAACCACAAGGTCAACTTAAGTTCAGAGTTTAGGACATTATCAGGTCTTTCCTGAGCAAGAGTACATCCATTGGCAAGTGCAGAGCTCTACACATGCACATGACCATCTAACCCCCAGAATACCAGAGCTTTTCAAAACTCCTCTGACACCTCATTCCCCAGCTTTTCTTCTTAAGTTAAGGTTTTGGTTAGCCTATTGTTCACTGCAAGGATTATGTGCTGCTCCAGGCAGTCAGTCACATGTTAATTATCTCCTGAGTATTTTTCAGCAAATGTTCCAGAGGAAAAGGCTTTTCACACTTGACAAACTCAAATCCTATAAAATAAAGACAGTCCGGCAAGTAATATCTTCCAGAGAACTGCCCAACAGGTCAAATGACAGTTCTGTGGAAATGAGGCTTTAAAGGAGCTCTATCCTCCTTTGCCCCCTCTGGTGGCTTCCAGGCTACTGTTATACACCACTGTGTATTGTTGGTTTTCAAAGAGCCAGTGGAGATGGAAAGGGGATGGAAAAGGGGGAAGTTAAAACACCACAAAGCTCACTGTTCATGCTGTGATCCAGTTGTTTTTCTTGAATTAATAAGTACTCCTTGGATTGCTGCAGCCCTTGGTTAGTTTCCAGAATTCTAAAAAAAGTGAATTCTGACATTTTGAGCCAATTTCTTCTTGCTTTGACAGTGAGTGAAGGGTGTTCAGAGGTCCTTCCTCAACCATTTTCACTGGCTTTGATTTAAATATCGAATGCTCACTTTTCTTTCCTACAGAATGAATTTGGATAAAACAATAAAGATACCACCACTGACATTTCTGAGCATTCGTATGGTTCAAACTCAATTATTCTATAAACATGCAACCAGACTGGATGCAGTATGAATTTTAGAAAATGGCTATCCTCCTAGTGGACATTGCCATAACTTCTGGACAGCAGAATCAGAGTGTTAGACAATCTTTTCATTACAGACATATCTTGAATCACCAGAAGAAACAAAACCTGATGCTTTTTAACATAGGCAGCAAGGATAACCCATACTTTACTGTAAGGTGGAATGGGAAAGAAAACAGAACAACTCTTGCAGGTTTCTTAATTGCATTTAAAAAATGACCTCTAAATGCTGCACCTTCTGCTTAGCCACCACTCTGGGTTGCCAGTACTTTTCTGTGTCTGATGCACGAGAGACCATGTAGTCATGCTTCAAAGAGCACATCTTAGGCTGTGACTGAGGATAACAGTCACTCTGCTATGATCAATCCCTTTCCTAAGAGACACCTGCATTACTTTCAGATCTATTAGCTGATGACATAGAGAAGTACTTCCTGGGTAGAGATGGTGAGACTTAAGTGATTTTCTAGACAGATATGGAGCTATTTTCATGAGCACAGATTTCATAAAAATCTTCTCTGAAGAAAAGGCAAGATATTTACTGAGCTCTTGGAGAAATGTAAAAGAGCCTCATTAGGAACAAGCAGGAGTGAATGGAAATTGCAAAAATAAAAGCATAGTAAAATGGTCAGGGTTATGTAAGAAAACATTTAAATAAGATTCTCAAAGAGTGTTTATGAGCCTATGCAATGAATTTACATCTCAATATTTAATTATACCAGGTTGTATTAATGTTAGTCCAGTTAAGTGTCCATGTTCACAAATCATCTGAATAAAAGTGTTTTGATTTCTGATGAAGCAATGTACTAGGCTTAAGTTTTTTTAATAGTAAAAAAAAGAATGTCATTTTTTTTTCAATTCAGGAAGGAAAACTAAACATTAGTATTAATAATTTTAAAAAATGCCTTCGAAAGTTCCCAGAGATTATGAAATAGGTATATGTTTTAGGCAAAACTACATGCAGTCAACTGGTGTTGAAGTTCTTATTTTTTTCCCCTTAGACCCCAAAACATTTTAATATGTAATACTCAATGTGATACAAATGTGAGATAGTCAGACAAGTAGAGTGTGGAAGGATTTAGTGAGAGATGAGTACACTGACCAAAGAAAATTTAATATGCCCCTCACTCTTCCAGAAGACGAGGGCCAGATAATAAACAAGATCATTAATCATCTTTAGTAGCCAGAGAGGATCCTCCACCAGTCCTTTCTGGTCCTCTTTGTTAAAATATTTAAAAATATTTTAAAGTGCACTCAAAATACACATTAATTGAAGATGTAGCATTTCATCTACACAATATTATAGTTAAGATTTCTGGCATAACTATTAGGCATACTGAAAAGCACTGGTAGAGTGATGCATTGACATAGACCCCTTGGTACTGCTTCCCAGATGACCTGTTTCATGAGGCCATTCTGGATTTAAAAACTTACCACTAGCCAACCACACATGAGGTCACTGTTGTAAACTTACCTGATCAGACTTTACATTCCAAGGGGCTCACTTTAAAAAATTACTATTATTGCATGAAGTATTTTTCTACTTAGAATAACTACTGCTCAAGGCAACAACAAATGGTAAGGGCATTTATCTAGCAAACACGAGGACCTGGGCTCGATCCCTAGCACTGTTAAAAAAAGTAAACAACATATATAATAATTTCAGATTTGCCTTTCTGCAAAGGTTTGGACAAAATTCAAATACACAGCATGTAGTCAAATTTTCTCCAGTTGACAACACTCCTTTATAATATCAAAGTTAGGAATGACATCAGTGAATCCAGCACAAAATTTCTGTAATGAACAGCACCAGGGAAACCATGTTATAAGTTCCCTTTCTCATCAATTAAACCCAGATGCTGCACCCCAGGGTTAAGGTTGAGATTGCCCAAAGACTGGCTGCCCCACCAAGGCTGATATTCAACACACTCCAGTTTATAACAGGTAAAGAGAGGATGCTTGGAGTGTAAGTGTCTTTGTAAAATTTCAAACATGTTAAAACAAGATTATTACATACTTTATCTCAATGAGAATTCCTGAATATCAGGTTAGCACATTTCATGGCTCCATTTTAAGATATATGATGGCAGAGGGTGAAACAGAAAGATGTAGCAATATATTTACTGTCATTTAAATAACAGTATCAGTCACTTAGGCTTGAAGCACATTTGTGAAGTTTCATGCCACATTTCTCACCCGTCAACTTACATACAAGTAGGGATTTTGCTAAAACTTCAATTATTCCAAAAGATGAAAGAAGTGGTACATTTTGATACAGATCTTCAGTTTCTATTATACTTTAGACCTTTGAAATGTTAAGGCTGAACAGACCAAGTTATGAAAGGGACAAGAGGAAGTAAGAACAGTGCGAATACAGTTGGAACACATGGTAACTTTCTGCCTTCACCATTCTCCCCAGATAGTCTGCTTTCTGAGCAGCAGGTGGTGTGACTGTAAAGAGATCACACATTTGTCAGTAACTATGTAGGATTTTTGGCACTGTTAGAGCCTAGCATTACAGAGTTAGGGCAGCTAATAAAATGCCATCAACCAGATTTTTGACAAGTCTGAAAGTTTTTGAAAATAACTTTTCTATCAAGCAACCCTTCCTGGTTCTCTTTTCAGTCCTGCCTTAGAGAACAATTTTTTTTTCTTTTAAAAAAAATCACTTCACAGCAACCAGATGAACATCTGGCAGCAAAGTAACACTAAAATGCCATCCTTTTAAAGGAAGGGCAAATACGTGACTCTTCCATGAAGAGTTTGTCTCTCTGGCAGGGGTAGGCTCACAGGCTGTTTATGGAGGTTTTTTTTTTTTTTAAAACCAAAGCCCAAGGCTGCTTGGACTTCACCTGTATTTTCTCAGTGATATCTGGACAACAATGTTACATATATAAGAAATCCAGAGTCAAAATGAACACAAGCTCATGCACTAGGTAAATAATGCGCTCAAGCTGTACTTTGGATGGCCCTGCTAACAACTAGTAGCAGAAGTAGCTGAAGCCATTTTTTCACATGTAACAATGATAGCTCAAAATCAGTATGAATTTAATCATAAACCCACCTAATGGGAACAGGGAGGTCTTATTTTGGTGTGTGTTTTCTCCCCTTTTCTTATTATGCAGAAAAATGCTTAAATCTAGAAAGGATAAGATCTTTTAAAGCCTCAAATATTTCTTGAGCTTCTCATTTATTAAAAAAAAAATCTCATTAGGAAATTTAAAAAATTTTTAAATTATTTTTTTGTATATAGTCTTTCAAATCAGAGTGTATTTCATTTTCGTTTTTAAATCCCTCTTGATGGTCTCTTAATACATTGCAAAACTTACAAATAAGGTTGTAACTTTCCAGAGGGTGTGTGCTCTGGGATCTTGCTGCGCCTCCACAGGAGTCTAACTTTGCCGCCAACTCAGGCACCCCACCCTGCTATGCGAGACTATTAGGCCATGGAGTGTGCTGAAATGCTAAAAACTGACAAGTTTCCACTGGAGAAACCATGGAGAATAATCGCATGGGGAAATAATCCTCTGGGGGAAAGAAAGAGAGCAGGAGAAGTATCACTGAAGGTAAGCTGTTCAGAAGTTAATTTGCCTGTATTATCAAATTATAGTTCTTCAGGGAACTCACTTTAAATTAGACGTGTGGAGGTTCATCAAACTAAATAGTTTACGTATGAGACACACTCACATAAAAAAGAAAAAACACAGAAGACAGGATGTCCTTAATTTGGGGGAGGATATATTCCAACTTGGGGGAAGGGTGAAGGCGTTTTAGCTGTGCAGCTCAATATGACATTTCCAGAGAGTTCTGCATGCCCCCGCATGAGACAGGACAGGATGGAAGGGCCTGTTCTGCCCTGGCTGGACTATCCAAGCCCTGCCGCACACAGTGTGCGACTCAGAGGCGGCCTTGGTGTCAAGCTGGCAGTGCTCCTGAGGCTCTTGAGTGTTTATCAACTCAGCAGGTCAAAAGTCTGCAGACACTGGGTGGAGCAGCAGTAAGCCACAAAACTAACAGTTGTCCTCCTGGAAGGGGAGAAAGGAGAGAGAACACTGTTAGTTCAAGATTAAAGTCTCTGGATTCTTTCCACTGGAGACAGTCTTTCTTTGTTACAAATAAATGATTGGGCATGGTCAACAGACTGCATTACAGAAATATAAATTTCCTTTTAAAACTGAGCTGTCATCAGGTAAGGCATGTGTGTGCATGTGTGTGCTCGCTTTATTAGTGGTGTTCTGATGACATACTATCCCTAACCTCACTGCTGGGGAATAATTAGCCTTTTTCCATATCCTGTTCTGAACTGTGCTTAGTAGAACTAACAGTGCAATCACAGATTTTGGTGTACATTATTAAAATCATGCAACAGGAACCCATTCAGCTAGAATACATACATACTGCAGAGCTTAACATAATTTTAACAAAGGTATTTCCATAGATTGTTCATGGAAATAATTTCAGAACCTGTTATCACAGTTCAAGGTATTCCCACATACCACAGGAATCCCTTCTCAAACTCCTGTTTGGAGACTTCTGCCTGGAGGCCTCTGACACCCTCTGGACAGCTCCAGGTGTTAGGTGCCTGTGTTCCCACCAGAAGTGCCATCCTCTGGTGAGGGGAAAAGAGGCTACTGTGCTAAGTGTTTTCTATTCCTCACCCCTTAATCCAGTCTCTGCCTATTTGTGTAGCCTAGGAAGGTGATCTCTACAGACTCTACCCTACTAATTGATAGAGCATTCTGTGGCATCGCAGTTACTCAAAGCATCAAATAGAATGGCAATGGACAATAAGGCACAGGAGAGCAAGTGGCTGGGGAACCTGATGACTATGGCCATCATGGTGAATCAGTTTTTTTGGGTGACATGGCTTCTGACCGTGTTGACAAGATTGGGGGTGGGGGGAGGGAGACAGGGAGAGAGAGACAGGGAGGGGAGGGGCAGGCTTCATGCCTTGAAATCTCAACTCAAGGAATAGGTAGAAAATCAGAAAGTTTCTATGGTGGCCTGAAAGGATGCTCATTTTATGATGCAATGAGGAACAAGGCTGAGGCCTGAAAAGTAGAGGCTGCAGAATCATCAGCCAGGTAATGGGATGCTTATGCTAAATCTCTATGCTAAGATAAAGGTGCTGGTTGGGAGGTAGTGGGAACTCGAGACTTGAGGGAGAAGCCTTTGGACAGACACCAACCTAAGGAACTTGAGCCTCTAACATCTTTGAACATCTTTTCATATCAGAAGCAGCGTTTTCTACCTTGTAAGAAAACCAGTATGCCTTTGCATAAAAATATTTCAATGGCTACATGCAGGGTGGCTACCTAAAAATGAAGAACCTATTCTTTTCAGGAACCACCATCACCAATACTCATTGCCTCTAGGGCCATCAAGAGAGTAAAATCCCAGCATGACCCAGAGATCTTGTAAGGTCTATTCCTGGTGGAGATAATGTATACAATGAAGAAGTCACAGGATCTTGTCACAATGTATTAGAAGGAACCTGGAAAGCAAATGTGGAAACAGATTCTAAGTACATTAGCCAATGAGAATAAATAGAAGGTTGGATCAGGCCAAATAAGGGTATTTCACCTAGGCCTCAGGATTTAATGTGTTACTCAAGCACCTGGGAATGAATAACAATAGCCTTGACTCGGTAGAGGGCTATAGTCAATGAGATCAGATGCTGGATTTTTTCCTGAAGACTTTAGAGACAGGAGAGCATAGACTTATGATATGGTGGCCTGAAAGGATACTCATTTTATGATGCAATAAGGAACATGGCTGAGGCTATGGGAACATTGGGTTGGACCCAATTTAGTGTATCCTCCTCAGTCACCTGAAAAATCTCCAAAAAGGTCACTAAAGCATTAAGATATGTACTGGTGAGGGGAATACCAAATGGAAGGAGCAAGCACCCATGAAGTTTTAAGACACGCCTACTAGAGGTCAGAAATAAACCTGCAAATGTTTGAAACCTGATACATAGTGAGGTATTAAATGGGAAAGAAGAGTGTATCCAGAACTGTCCATTATAAAGACAGACAGACATTTTTGGTGGGTCCCTTTGGGCTATGCTGGCAATATCTATTTCAGTGGAGACTTGATTCTGTCAAGATAGAATATCACCATTTCCTCCAGTCTTCCATGTTATAACTTAAACATCCTAGTTATAGCACAACAAACAAGTTTAGGATGACTCTGAAATGTAGAATGAAGGCAGATAACCTAAGGACCTTGGGACTTGAGCAACAACACAGCAAGGGTAAGTTCTCTGGGTTGTCAGGTCTTAGATATTATTACCTAATTATCTCATGTGTCTTAGCACAAGCCTCCAATTCAGAACCACCCACAGGGACAAACAAAAAATCTCCAGAAAAAGTATGTTCCCCTAAGTCAAAAGACTGGGATAGGGAAATCTATAATGACAGAAAGTGGAGAAAAAGTTGTTCAGAGCTGGATATGTCATGGGGGAGGACAGAGGACTAACAGCTAAAAGTACCAGGTTTTCTTTTAGGAATGATAGAATGTTCTAAAATTGACTGTGGTGATGGTTGCATATACTTGTGGATATACTATATATATACTGAACTGTATACTTTAAATTGGTAAAACTGTAGAATATCTGAATAATTTCAAGAAAGCTGTTAAAAATAGAGCCAAAAGGAAAAATACATAAACCTACAATTAGAACTGATAGAACTACTATATAAAAAAATCAGTATAGGTATAGAAGAACTGAGTAATACAATAAACTAAAGGATATAATTGACATATTCAGAATACTCCACTCAATAGCATTTGTAAAACATACAATTTTTTTCAAATGCCTATGAAATAATCATGAAGATTTACTATATATAGGTCTATTAAATAAACTTCAACAAATTGAAAGAACTGATCTATAAATGAGATGTCTGGTTTCATCTTGGACACGTAAAGAGCCGGCGTTCTGTTTTTCACAAGAAGTATATGTTGAAGGAATCGAAAATCAACAATTTTTCTTAATCCCTTTGGAGAACTGAAATTGTACAATAAAGTGCCACCTCAAAATCTAGAGACAGTGAATACAGAAGTCACAGCTAAGATCTGCTTACCTGGACAGAAGCTACTGAGACATAAACTGGTAGGAAATGAAAACGTTTATGACAGGATAGAAAAAGAGTAGAAATCAACAAAATTAAAAACATCTTTAGGGTTAAGGTCAATAAAACTGATGCCCTCAAAGACTTACAAAGATACAAAGAAGACAAATTACTATTAAACATCAAACAGGTAATAACCCTATAGATCCTGCAAGCTATTCTAATGATATAAGGGAATACTGTGAACAAAAAAAGTTTTCATCTTAGAAGAAACAGATCAACTCCTTAAACAACACAAACCACCAAAACCCAACTGAGATGAAACAACCTAAACAGTCCTATAACCATTAATTTAAATTTGTAATTAAAAAAAGGCAATTTACATTCCCAGATGGTATCACTAGAGACTCTTAACATTTAAAGGGGAATAGGAAATTTTACAACAATCTCCTTCTGACAAATGGAAGAGGTACACTTCCTAACTAATTTTATGAGGCCAGTATTATTCTAACTCCAAAACCAGAGGACGATAGAAAATCAGAAATGTGTAGACAAATACCTCTTATGAACACAGATTAAAAAATCTTCACTGTGAATTTTTGGCAGTCGAACGTTTGACTAGCATGCTCAAGCTCTGGGTTTGATCCAGTACTATCCTCCCTCCAAAAAGAAATAAAAAAAAAAAAACCAAAAAACTCAACAAAGTATTGATAAATTAAATATAGAAAAGTATAGAATAAATTATACATCATGATCAAGTGGGAGTCATTTCAGGTGTGTAAAGCAGGTTTAATAATTTTAATATTTATTTTTTAGTTTTAGGTAGACACAATATCTTTATTTTACATTTATATGGTGCTGAGGATTGAACCCAGTGCCTGGTGCATGCTAGGTGAGCACTCTACCACTGAGCCACAACCCCAGCCCCAATAATTTTAATATTAACAATATCGGAATGGGAAGATGGCAGCGAGGGGAGTGCATTGCCCCCGTGTGCCGCGTCACTGTGTGGGAGAATGACGAGTCAGGACTGCTAAAGGCTGTCTTGTTAGGAATTTCCAGCAATAGTGGGGTGCTCTGGAACCTGGAGGAAGGATTTCCATCGCACGAAGATCGGCTGCGGGGACTCAAACGCGAGAGATTTGTCGCACGGAGGGTAACACTGCTTATTCAGCAAATCGCCCCGTGGCTAGAGTCTGCAGCGCGCGCTGGGAAACGAAGAGATAGCAACGCAGGGATACAGCGCTGCAGTTTCTGCCAGCCGTGCAAGCACCGTACTCAGTGCTGAATTCTGGGTTCGAGACGGGGGAAGGAAGCGGTCCATTTCGGTTCTCCACACCGGTCAGACCACAGAGGAGGCCAGCGGCCACCATCTTGGAGAGCTGACGTCACCATCCCTGTTTTCGACTGACCACAGCTCATTCAGCCATAGAACAGGTAATTTCAGGCTGCCATTCGCCTGCGGCTTGCAGACAGATTACTCAGGCTCAGTGCCTGAGTGCTTCTTGGAGCCTGCTCTTATCAGAGCATACACCGAGCACGGAGCGGCCGAGT